CTGACCCCTCCTGTCCCCCCGCAGCCCGTTCTCCCCGCCATGGCCGCCATGGCCGCGGTGGCCGCCTGGCTCCTGCTGGCCCCGCGGCTCTCCGGGGCGTCCCCCGACGGCTCCGCCCCCGTCGCCGCCAACGGGACGTGCCGCGGGTCGTCGCGGTGCCAGCCCGGCGTCCTCCTGCCCGTGTGGCAGCCGGACGAGCCGGCGGCGGGCGACAAGGCGGCGCGGGCCATCGTCTACTTCGTGGCCATGATGTACCTGTTCCTGGGCGTGTCCATCATCGCCGACCGCTTCATGGCCTCCATCGAGGTGATCACGTCGCGCGAGAAGGAGATCACGGTGACCAAGGCCAACGGCGAGACCAGCGTGGGCACCGTGCGCATCTGGAACGAGACGGTCTCCAACCTGACGCTGATGGCGCTGGGCTCGTCGGCGCCCGAGATCCTGCTCTCGCTCATCGAGGTGTGCGGGCACCGCTTCCAGGCGGGAGAGCTGGGCCCGGGCACCATCGTGGGCAGCGCCGCCTTCAACATGTTCGTGGTGATCGCCGTGTGCGTCTACGCCATCCCGGCGGGCGAGAGCCGCCGCATCAAGCACCTGCGCGTCTTCTTCGTCACGGCCTCCTGGAGCATCTTCGCCTACATCTGGCTCTACCTCATCCTGGCCGTCATCACGCCGGGCGTGGTGCAGGTGTGGGAGGCCTTCCTCACCCTGCTCTTCTTCCCGGCCTGCGTGGTCTTCGCCTGGGCGGCCGACAAGCGCCTGCTCTTCTACAAGTACGTCTACAAGCGCTACCGCGCCGACCCGCGCAGCGGCATCATCATCGGCGCCGAGGCCGAGCGCCCGCCCAAGGACGTGGAGGCCGACGGCGGCTTCCCCGCCCCGGCGGCCCTGGCACAGACCCCGGCCCTGCCCGAGCCCCCCGAGGGCTCGGCGGCGTCGCCGTCGCCCACGCCCGAGGAGCGGGAGCTGGACGAGAGCCGGCGCGAGGTCATCCAGATCCTCAAGGACCTGAAGCAGAAGCACCCGGAGAAGGAGCTGGAGCAGCTGGTGGACGCCGCCAACTACGTGGCGCTGGTGCACCAGCAGAAGAGCCGCGCCTTCTACCGCATCCAGGCCACGCGCCTCATGACCGGCGCCGGCAACGTGCTGCGCAAACACGCGGCAGAGGCGGCGCGGCGCTCGCCGGCGGCGCCGGGCGAGGACGACGAGGAGGAGGAGGAGGACGAGGCCTGCAGCCGCATCTTCTTCGAGCCCTGCCTCTACCACTGCCTGGAGAACTGCGGGTCGGTGACGCTGGCCGTGGCCTGCGAGCAGGGCGTGGGCGCCAACCAGACCTTCTACGTGGACTTCCGCACCGAGGACGGCTCGGCCAAGGCGGGCTCGGACTACGAGTACAGCGAGGGCACCCTGATCTTCAAGCCGGGCGAGACGCGCAAGGAGCTGGCCATCGGCATCATCGACGACGACATCTTCGAGGAGGACGAGCACTTCTTCGTGCGCCTGCTCAACCTGCGCGTGGGCGACGCCGAGGGCATGTTCGAGGCCGACAACGAGGAGCACCCCAAGGGCAAGCTGGTGGCGCCGCTGGTGGCCACCGTCACCATCCTGGACGACGACCACGCCGGCATCTTCGGGTTCCGCGAGCGCTCGGTGCGCGTCAGCGAGTGCCAGGGCAAGGTGGAGGTGACGGTGGTGCGCAGCTCCGGCGCCCGCGGCACCGTCATGGTGCCCTTCAGGACCGTCGAGGGCACGGCCCGGGGAGGGGGAGTCGACTACGAGGACGCCAGCGGGGAGCTCGAGTTCCGCAACGACGAGACGGCGTGAGCACAACGGGGGGGCGTGGGGGTGGATCGTGGATGGGTGGGTGGATGGGTCATGGATGGATCCTGGATGGGTGAAAGATGGATGGATGGATGGTGGATGGATCATGGTTGGATGATGGATGGTGGATGGTGGGTCATGGATGGATCATGGATAGGTCATGGATGGATGATGGATGGATGGTGGATGATGGGTGGATGATGGATGGATGGATAAATGGATGAATGGATCATGGATGGATGGATGGATGATGGATGGATCATGGACAGATGGATCATAGAGGGATGGTGGATCATGGATGGATCATGGATGGATGGTGGATGGATCATGGTTGGATGGATGATGGATGGATGACGGATGATGGATGGATGGAGGATGGATGGAGGATGGATGGAGGATGGATGATGGATGGGTGGATGGATCGTGGATGGATCATGGATGGATGGATGGATGGATGGATCATGGATGGGTGAAGGATGGATGGAGGATGGATGGATGGATGAATGGATGATGGATGGATGGTGGATCATGGATGATGGATGGATGGATGGGTGGATGATGGATGGATGATGGATGGATGAGTGAAGGATGAATCATGAATGGATGATGGATCATGGATGGTGGATGGGTGAAAGAGGGATGATGGATGATGGATGATGGATGGATGATGGATGGATAGTGGATGATGGATGGATGGTGGGTGGATCATGGATGATGAATGATGAATGGATGATGGATGGATGGGTCATGGATGGATCCTGGATGGATGATGGATGGATGATGGATGGATGGGTGAAAGACGGATGATAGATGGATCACAGATGGATGGAGAATGGATTATGGATGGATGGATGGTGGATCATGGATGGATGGATGGATGGTGGAATGTTGGATGGAGATGGAAGAGGAAGAGCGCGGATGGACGTTGGTGAAGGACGCGGAGGGAGGGAGGACGGAGGTGGAAAGACGGATGGTGGGATGGATGGACAGAAAAGATGGACGGTGGGATGGAGGTGATGGACACGGGTGGATGAAGGACGGATCGTGGATGGGTGGCAATGGAAGAGAAGCGTTGGGTTACTGGTTGGATGATGATGATAACAATGACGATGATGATGATGGTGATGATGACGGTGATGATGATGATGATGATGACAATGATGATGATGATGGTGATGGTGATGACGATGACAACGATGATGATGATGACGATGATTGCGATGATGATGACGATGATGATGATGATGATGATGATGATGATGGTGATGATGATGACGATGATGATGGTGATGACAATGATGATGATGAGGATGACGATGATGATGGTGGTGATGGTGACCACGTGTCCCGCCCCAGGAAGACGCTGCAGGTGAAGATCGTGGACGACGAGGAGTACGAGAAGAAGGAGAACTTCTTCATCGAGCTGGGCGCGCCGCGCTGGCTCAAGCGCGGCATCTCGGGTACGGGGACACCCAGGGGTCACCCAGGGGCCACCAAGGGGTCATGGGGGCCACCCAGGGGTCACAGGGCCACTGAGGGGTCACAGGGCCACCAAAGGGCCACCAATGGGTCATGGGGGCCACCAATGGGTCACGGGGGCCACCAAGGGGTCACAGGGCCACCGAGGGGTCACGGGGCCACCAAGGGGTCATGGGAGCCATCGAGGGGTCATGGGGCCACTGAGGGATGACAGATGGGTCACAGGGGCCACCAAGGGGTCACAGGACCACCAAGGGGTCACGGGGGCCACTGAGGGGTCACAGGGGCCATCGAGGGGTCACAGGGCCACCAAGGGGCCACCCAGGGGTCATGGGGGCCACCAGTGGGTCACGGGGGCCACCAAGGGGTCACAGGGACACCGAGGGGTCACGGGGCCACCAAGGGGTCATGGAGCCACCAAGGGGTCACCGAGGGGTCACGGGGCTCTCACCACTGTCCCCTCCTGTCCCCACAGCTCTGCTGCTCGCCCAAGGTAGGAGCCTTCGGCCTCGGCCCCGGACGCGCCCCGTGACCGTGGATGTCCCCGTGACCGTGTATGTCCTCGTGGCCCCACCACGTGTCCTCACTGTCCCCATGAGCCTCGTTGTGTCCCCACGGTGACCCCACAGTGTCCCCACGTCCCCACACATCCCTTGCTGTGTCCCCATGGCCTTGTGGTGTCCCCACTCCACATCCCCACATCCCACCCTGTGTCCCCACGTCCCCACACGTGTCCCTCATGTCACGTGTCCCTCACGTGTCACCGTCCCCGTGACCCCTGTTGTGTCCTTGTGTCCCCGTGTCCCCATGACCCCTGGTGTGTCCCTGTTGTGTCCCCATGACCCCTCATGTGTCTCTGAGTCCCCATGACTTCTGTTGTGTCCCCATGACCCCTGTTGTGTCCCCATGACCCCTGTGGTGTCCCCATGACCTCTGTTGTGTCCCCATGACCTCTGTTGTGTCCCCGTGTCCCCATGACCCCTGTTGTGTCCCTGTTGTGTCCCCGTGTCCCTGTGTTTGTCCCCACACTGTCCCCTGTCCCAGGGGACGGGGAGCGGGCGCTCTCAGCCGAGGAAGAGGAGGCTCTGTCCCCATGACCCTGTTGTGTCCCCATGACCCCTGTGGTGTCCCCATGACCCCTGTGGTGTCCCCATGACCCCTGTTGTGTCCCCATGACTCCTGGTGTGTCCCTGTTGTGTCCCTGTGTGTCCCAGGGGACGGGGAGCGGGC